ATTGGTGGATCCAGACCAAATAGCTTTTGTTATTCAATGTCTCTTGCCCTTAACTGTTCTACATGTGCAAAGGAAATTTTGTGTCTCCGGTTTATGGTCAAGTAGATCACCATAAAAAAATTAACTAGCATTTGCTTTGTGTGTTGTTTAGTGTTGATAAACCTGACAAGTGAGATACTATGGTCTTCAGTCTTCCTATCAGTTTTGTGTTGTTTTCCATGTGTGGGTTCTCCTCAAATCTGTTGCTGTAGAGGTTATTGGGCAGTTCTCCGGTGAAGTTTTCAAATATACAGGTTAATGGTAGCTTCAGGGAAGGATGTGTAGTTGAAGGTCCTGCACTACTGAGCATCTTGGGTGTAAGGCTTCAAAATACATGGATACAGAGTAAACAAGAGAAGCCGTTACGCTGCAAGCACATTGAGAAGTGCAAAAAAGTATAAATTTTTCTTCCTTTCGGGTTTTTTTTTTTTTTTTTTCCCATCTTCTTCTTTCATAGAATTTCAAGTCTGGCGTTGAATTAGGTGTAAGTTTGCATTATTTACATGGTGTCCATGCTTATCAAGTCTCCTGATTTCGTCAAATGACCTTAATCTATATATGATTAGATAGAAGGTTTGTATCTTTTTCTTGGGTCAAAATAAAAGGTTTGTACTCAACGTGAATGAGTTTGGGAAGGGATTTATATGAGAGATTACAAACACAACACAATTGTCTAGAAGGTAGCAGTTTTATCCTCTTAAGGGTGGCTCCACTAGACGGTTGCAGACTGTATTTCATAATTTTGAATTTGAAAAAATTAAGTGCCATCCCATTATTGTATTTTGTGAACTATCAACATTTGTTCCCCATTTCAACAACTACATTCATAACCGTTTAATCTCTAAATTTCCTTTGTAATAGGTTGATTTCAAGCATATTGGATCACTGTAAGTGATTAACTTCAATTTTTAATTTGCAAATTATTAATTTGTATAACTTAGAAATTTAAGATATAAGTTGCACCAGAAAACTGTGGAATAACTTAAGCGATTAAATTCACTCTTAGTGTTCTCCCTTGCATAAATAAACGATCAATCATCAACCTACTTCTTATCACTTTAAGGATGGAGAGGAAGCAGAATTTCCTGTGCGGTCATGAAGATCCACCATGCAATTGACAGTGAATTTAATTAATCTTCTGGTTGGGTATGTCTTATTTCTCTTAGTTTCTATTTTCTAGAATTTGTTGATTATTATTGAATTTTAACAAATCGATTTCCAACCTTGGAGAACAAAAGATAATATTGTTTTTTTTTTTTTCGTCTGAATGAACTATACAAAAACAGATAGTCTTTATTTTCCTCTAAATCCCTCATTGTCCAACTCAAAACTTAAATTTAAGATCTCTAATTTAAAATTTAAAATTCTTAATTATTTGATTTAAGTTCTTAACTATTAACCTACCGCATTGTACTTACAATAATAGATAATATTATGAATTGTAAGTTTCTATTGCCATATGGTCCTTTTTGCTTCTTTTTTTTTTTTTTTTTTTTTGTAAAAATATCATTTTAGTCTCTCAACTTTTCATTTTGATACTAAAATTATCCTTAAAATTTAAATAATACTAAAATTACCCATAAACTTTCATTTTTAGTACCAAATCCATCCTTCTATCGGTTAAATGATGGTGTGGCAAACTTTCTATCAAAAAATTCATTTTCCTTAATTTTAGATATTACGTAGAAATGAGATGTAAATTTAAAAGGAAATGTGGTAAATTTTCTTTTTCCATGGCATTTTAATTTAATTAAAACTAAAGGTACAACTTGTAATTAAAAACTTAATTAAAATTAAATTTCAACTCAAACAAGAAATTTAGTATCGCTTAAACAAGTAATCCAAGTGCAAATTAAATTAAATCATTAT